AAACTGTTTGGAAGAAAAAGAAATCATGAATCTTTACTCTTTACATAAAGAAATACAGGAAAAATAAACCAGAAAGTCATTAAATGATTCCCTAAAGCAGACTAGGGAAGGGGACTAGACCAGAGAGGACGAAGTGGGGAGGGAATGGCACTTCTCTTGTGGATCTATTGATGCAATGTACACTTTTGGAATAATGTTGATATTCAATATATTAAAAAGAGCAGTTAAATTAACAAGACAATAAAAGTCCTGAAACAGAATAAAAAGAAAAACAGGTCTGTATAATATTTTAAAATGCATTCTACTGTCATGTATAACTAAAAAGAACAAATTTAAAGAAGAATGAGGAGGAGGAGGAGGAAAGAGTCTCATTATCTAAGTGCAGGACTGGGACCATTCATCCCCAAGAGTAAGACCCTGCAGGCAGATCTTGGTGCCCTCCTTTCAGATTTGCTTTTCATGCAACGAGTGTAGCAGACACGATGTTATTTATGTGACCTGAGCAGAGAAGGGGACAGCAGTATGGAAGAGAGAAGCAACGAAGCCCCCTGCAGCGTTGGTATGAATTAGAGCTATAAACTCGTGGTTTCTAGTCCATTTCTGTTATATAATTATATCTAGGGTAATTTTAATATCTCAATAAAAATATAGAGATAGAGATAAGAACAGTTATGTGTTAAAAAAAATTAAGAGTTCATGAGCCTGTATTGTTAATGCTGATAAATACACCTATATTCACCTGTACCAAAGTTGGGTGGACATATGTTAAACATGACAAATACAAAACGGAAATTGTTGGGGAAATGTGTGAGGTGGCCAGGAGTGGTGGTGCACACCTGTAATCCCAGCAGTTCAGGAGGCTGAGGCAGGAGGATCTCAGGTTCGAGATGAGCCTGGGCAATTTAGTGAGACCCTCTCTCAAAAATAAATATATAAATAGGACCAGGGATGTAGCTCAGTGGTAAAGCTCTCCTGGGTTCAATCTTGAGTACCCCACCCAAAAAAATTGTGGGGTAATAAACAAAGTGATGTGTGCCCTACAATGATGAGGCCCTTCATGACGTCTATGTGGATTCAACTGACGTGACTGTGGCCATCTTGAGTCGCAACCACAGTTATGGCGAAGATTGTAATAAATCACTGAGTCAAACTTAAAGCAGAAGACGAACCATCTTTACTCGCCAGCTGGTGATCGGATTCACCAGGGGCAGGCTGCAAGTCTACACCTCTGACCCCCTGCAGTGGTTTGAGTGCACCTTTTATACCATAAGTAAAACATGCCAGTACATGAGTCATAAGTGGCTGTTGCTATGATTCAAGACCACAAACAGCATGAGATCTCAAATCATAAACAGAAGGGGAAGTGGGTCAAAATGACCCTAGTTGAGTACAAGTTAAAGAATGGTTACTAACATCTTCACAGCCATTCTCTGACAGGGTACATTGTCCAAGGAAAATGGGAACCAAAGAGAGAACAATTTTACATTGTATAAGAATTGCCATCTTGTGTCCCTAACATTCTATGCTAAGCGCCTATTGATGGGTACAGAGTGGGTGTTCCCATGGGAGAAGCATTTCTCACATGACATGGAGTCTAGGGCAAAATGGAGTCTGTTGGGTCATTGCTCATATAGCCTGGTCCATAACACCACCACCCTTGTCCCCGCCAGTCTTCCTGCACAGTTTCCCAGCATGCTATAAATAGATCAAACCACGAGAGGTATGTGGAGCTTTACAACTGAACTCTGGCGCCAGCAATGTGCCCAGCCCTCGGATATTAGCTTAAGAGAAATCGGCTACCTTCCGTCTGGGATAGAGCTACTTTTGTCCTTCCCAGGATGCACAGCTCTCCTTCTGACTCGACCACCCACTTGGAACCCACTTGGTATCGCTGCCACCCAAGAACCACACCACACTTCAGTCATTAAGTGGCCAATAAATGGCATTCTGTGCAAACCTGGATCTGCCTGCCCATCTCAGGTCTCCTGGCAATTGGAGCTGGTTCTCGTATACTGGGACTGGGTTGTTCTGGAACCATCTTTCAGCTCCTTCTACTGCTTTTCCTTAGTCCATTTCGGCTTAGTGTCCCTGAGAACAGAACTCTGTGATCAAGACAGGAGTTTCTCAGGAAATCGGAGCTTGCTGCTGTTCGTGGTTCTCTTAATTTGTAATAAATATTCCCCAGAAGATCATACAGGTAGGAGGGGAAATGAGGAGCAACCGTAATGCTTTACCTCCCCCAAGTGGAGCTGTTCCACCAGCTGTGGCCAAAGCTTGGATTTAACACAACAGCCAGTTCTATTTGGGTTTATTATTTGTTCGGGAGGAACATCTTCAAGACAGAGTGAGAAATCGGGCTCCTGTTTATCCAACAGGGTCACCTCTGCTTGCTCTTTTGAAAGGGATTGGACAAGAACGTGCAGCAGAGCCCCGTGGCAGCTGCCCACCCTGGCCAAGCCCTGCCTTCCCTCACAGGATGTCGGAGTCTATGGCAGCTGGAGCCCTGGTGACTGCAACATGACGAGTCATTAAAGACCTCTGAAGGCAGCGACCCTGGAGAAACCTGAAGTTAGAAGAAAGAACCAAGCCAACCCCTCCCCACAGGCCAACAACTGGGAATCAGCTGGAAGATGGATGTGAATGAGAACGGACTTCTCTTTTCTCCCTCTCTCCATCTGACCACCGAGTGCATGAAGGCTGGCCAGACCAAGCCAGCTCCCACCCAGGAGTTCGGGAAATCGCCACCCTACAGCTTTCCCAGGTGTGAGGTTTAGCAGTTGCCAGCCGCTGTTCAGAGCTCAAAGGTTCAGGTCACCTTCCTTTCTGTATTTTTTATTTGTTCTTTTTAGATACACATGACACTAGAGAGTATTTTGACATATCATTCAGACATGGGGAATAACTTTCCATTCTTGTGGAGCCACATAATGTGGAGCTTCGTATGTCTTCATATAGGAAAGGTATAGTTCACTTCACTGTCTTTCCTATTCCCATCCCTCCTCCCTTCCCTTCATTCCTCTTTGTCTAATCTAGTGAATTTCTATTCTTCTTTCACCCACCTATCCCCCTCATTGTGACTCAGCATCTACAGATCAGAAAGAACATTTGGCCTTTGGTTTTTTGGGACTGGCTTATTTCACTTAGCATGATGTTCTCCAGTTCCATCCATTTACTGGCAAATGCCATCATTTCATTCTTCTTTATGGCTGAGTAATATTCCACTGTATATATGTACCATATTTTCTTTATTCGTTCATCTGTTAAAGGGCACCTGAGTTGGTTCCATATTTGGCTATTGTGAATTGAGCTACCATGAACATTGATCTGGTCTGGTGACCTTTCTTTAAGACAGTCTCAGAGATGTATGGTCTTCATAGCCACTTAAGTCTTCATGACCTCATCTCAACCATTTGTGCCCCCAAAAGGGAATGAAAAGTGAATTAATCAACAGAAAGAAAGATCCAGAGCAGCCTTTCAGTGCCATCACTGCAAACACTCAAAGTTGGTGCCTTGGAAAGGCCTCATTTGTGTTTTCACTCTAAAGGGACACATGAGCTTCTCAGGTCTTACAGACTTTGAACTGAGCCTCTCTAGTTAAGTGTGTGGTCCGAAGGTGGCCAGAGAGTGTTGACCTGTGTCACAATTCCCATGATCAGCCTGCAGGGAGCTCAGTCCCTCTCGTTTCTGCCTGGGGAGTTTGGAGCCAGAGCAGGTGGGGAGCAGTGTCTGGGTGTCGCTGATCTGCAGGCGCCTGGGCTGAGCGCGCCCCTGTCCTGCGGCCGGTGGAGCTGCGCTGTGGAGTGGCGGGGGCGGTTGCTGGCCGACTCACCCGACTCCTTAAACCACTTGCTTCCGTGTGATCTGCACACTTCTGCAAAGACACTGAGCTCCTTTAAAGAGGTTGGAGTCACGGTGGCTGCTCTTTGGGCCTGTGTGCAGCGAGGGTGTCCCTTCAGAGGGCCAGCAAGCCCCCGGGCCTTTTCTGTCCAACTAGAAACCTCAGTTTCCCCCTGGCCGCCCACCTGCCATGGCCTTACACAGCTGCCTGCCTTTCTAGAGTCTCTGCCTCCAGCCTCCCGCTCCTCAGTGGATTGTGTCCGCGCCAAAAGGCATTCCACCCAAGAGGCTTCCCCAGCTAGGGACAGCAAAGGAGCTGGGCGGCTGAAGGACGCCTCTTCAGATGGCCCTCTGGGGGCAGTGCAGTCAGCCTGACCAGGGAGCAGCCGCTAAGTGCCCTTTTCCTCAGAGCTGCTAGTGCCAAAGATTGTGCGGCCACCTGACCCTTGGGCCCCGGCCGAGACTCACAGCGGGGACAAAGGCCGTAAGGCCACCTGCTCAGCCATTGGCTTTGGGTTCTGATTGCTGGGTGCCCTTCTGCACTAGAAGTAAAATCCTTGCCTTATGGACAGAGCTGACTGTCTCTGAGTGTTTATTTCGGCTCCTGGGGGGCCCAGGACCCCTGATATTTCCAACAGGAGGTGAAATGATCAGGTTAGGAGAGCCTTCAACTAGTCAGTGTGCTAACCCACCAGTGGGGCTAACTGGGTGGTGACTACAGGCAGCTAGGGAGTGGCTGAGAGAGGCGGGCCACCACACTCCTTTAGAGATATATTTTGTCCCCTGTGAGGAACCTTCTCTCTGCTTCCTGATTGTCAGGTCACACCCCTCCGCCATGATGCTCTGCCTCACCTCAGGCTCAGAGCCACGCAGCTGGTTGTCTATGGACTGAGATTTCCAGAACTGTGAGCACCAAGTAAACGTTCCCTCCTCTAAAGTGAGTCTTTTTGGGTCTTTCGGTCATAGCAACAAAAAAAGTTGATTGAAACATTTGGTGTGCCTAAATAAGCCTTTTAAAATTTGCTAATGACTGATCATCTTACATGCATGAACATTTTACATTAATTGGATGTGCTTTTCTATGTGACTTTAATAAAGGATGTCATTAGCCCTTTAAAAAAAGATAGCATATGTGAGTGTATGTGCTGATGTGCAACGTAGGGATGGCTAAACAGAGAAGAGAAGAAGGAAAAAGCGAATCTGGAGAGAGGGATGTAGGTGTTCTCAGTGCTATTCTTTTGAGATAATTCAAAAACTAAAAAACTGCCAATGAAAACAAAAATAAATAATGGCCAGAAGCACACAAGAAAAGAATAGATAAATAAAATAACAGCGCATAGTCCAGGACAGGAGCACTCGTGTATATATTGGGTGTGTGTTGTGTGTGCATGCATGTTGCTTAGAGCCTCACAAAGTTGCTCAGGCTGGCCTTGAACTTGCCATCCTCCCCCGCATCAGCCTCCAGAGCTGTTGGGATTATAGGCGTGCACCACTGTGCCTGGTTTATAATTGTATTTTGCCTTCATCTTAGAACACTATTTTTTTTTAATTTGTGGGTAGGTTATATTATAAATTTTGATTCAGGGGTGGTAAGGAACACATAAACAAATATTTATATTATAAAAAAGGAAGTCAGTAGGTCTGAGAAGTTGGGCTTAAAGGGTCTCCACCAGCCTTGACATTGAGGGCTTGAGGGTCTGTCCAGTTTCAATGCTGAGAGTTGTAAATTCACCTTGAAACAGGCTTTGTGATCTAGCTGTCTGTCTCACACTGGATTGGCGGGTCCTTGGGGTGGGAGAGCACCTGCCCCACCCTGGCTGAAGCAGGGGGGGCCACCATTGTCTTCTCCCTCACCAGGTGTTCTGTCCCCAGAGGCACTCAACAGAAAGGCCCTGGCCCTGTCCAGGCAGAGCTCAGGGTCAGGGCACAGCCTTAGTCCCGCCTGGAGTGTGGTTTCCAGAAGCCCCACCACCTCTGGGCAGAATGTTAATCAGTAACAGCCCCCAGGGGATCACACTTTGGAATAGCAAATATTTACTGAAGGCTTTGGCTACAACACCTAAGCCTTCATCCTTCCTCTGGATCTTCCCTGGCACCAGGGGCCCTTCGTGGGTATGAGGCAGTGACCACAGAGAGACCTTCAGAGTCCAACCCGAGGGGAGAGAAGGAGAGATGCCCTTGTCAGCTCTGGGTGGGCTCCAATGTGAGGGGTCAGTGGCCAAGCAGTGCAGAGTCCTCACCCTAGACTCCATAGGGACTGTGAATCCAGGCTGGGGCTGGGGAAGGGGTGGGCTCCCCTGCAGGAAGGGGGCCCAGAGAGTGGTGTGAGTCTCGGCCTTTCATCGGCCCTGACTAACGGCCCAGGGGCAGAGTCGGGAGTGGAGGTTACTGCAGCTCTAGGCAATTGCCCCAGGCTGAGTGGCAGGTGCCAGGGGTCTCCTACCATCAGATGCTATCTGGGAAGGTGTGTCCTCACTGAGCTTGCCGGCTCCTAGTCCAAGGAGTGGCCCAGCACTTAGGTCCTCACCATTTGGCTGAGAACAGAGGCCTGAGATGACAGGGGGGACGGTTCCATTAGCAGGTGCAGGAGCCACCTGCTGTCAAGGACTCTCACCCCACAGGAGAAGGGGGAGCTTTAGGAGCAGTACGGTGACACTTAGCATTTGGAAGGGGTGACATCTATCTGATCAGCTGGCTTAGCTTTCTGATAACCATGAGAGAGCTGACCAAATTCAAGAGTGTCCTGCCGAGGGCTTAACCTATAAAGTAGAGCTGAATATTGTCACGTGGCTGTCTTAGTCGGGACTGGCTCTAACAAAATATCATGGGCTGGGGGCCTGAGCCATATTTGTCTCAGTCCTGGAGGCTCAGAGCCCAAGATCAGGGTGCTAGCACAGTTGGACTGTGGCAAGGACCCTCTCCCTGGTTTGCAGATGCTCACCTTTCATGCTGTGTCCTTCATGGGGAGAGGAGGTTCTCGGCTCTTGTCCTCTTATCATGAGGACACTAATCCCAACACAGGACCCCCACCATGACCTCATCTCAACCTAGTCACCTCCCAAGGCCCCACTTCCTCACACCATCGTTGTGTGGGTGAGGGCTTGAACTTATGAATTTCGAAGGGGCACAAATATTCAGTTCATAACCACAGTGAAGGCCTGGAATGGGGGGATTGGCACATGGAAGGAGGGACTTACCCAACAGTGACAGTGACGGTGTGACCTGCAATCCTGGGCTTGCCACTGGGGATTGGAGAGGACTTCTGAAGCATGACCCTGGGAAAACATGGCTGATGACTTCACTGAGTGTGAGCGCCTCTCAGGCCGCAGCAGGGGGCCCTGATTCCGTGGTGCTGTCAGCAGGGCGAGGGGCAGCAGGAGGAATCCCAGGGCTGGACGTGGCTTGGCTCGGGATGCGGCAGCCTGGGAGGTTTGCCTCGGCATTCCCCCTTGACACAGGGACCCTGGGCCAGAGCCAGGGTCTCCCTGAAGGGAACTGCCAAGAGGCCTGTGAGACCCCACACCACTGGCCTGGACATCCTGCCCCACCAGGCCCTCCTGGACCCAGAACAGAGCAAGGGTGAGGGAGAGGGGTCTCTTGGTGGCCTGTGCAGCCAGGCCTGGTGTATGGCCAAACTCCAGGATCCAGAACATGTGGTCACAGACAGGGGCACAGCCCAGGAGCCATCCTGTGTGCCAAGGTACACAGAGGGACCTGGGAGAGGTGGTAGTAGGGGACAGGTACCAGACTGGGGCAGCAAAGCCAGCACACCCCAGGCTGCTGTGGGAGAGATGGGATTAAGCCCAGGCCAGTGCTGAAAGCCCCGGCTGTGCCAGCTCCCGCCATCCTGGGAGTCCAGCTAGAGGAGCAGGGAAGACCCGCGGGCACTGTGCAGGGCAGGGGCAGGCGCAGGAGGATGTGCGTCAAAAACCAGCGTGGCAGGCTTTCTCTTTTCCTTGCCGGATGGCCTCTCTCGGACCCTCCAAATCCCCAGACAAATGTGTCACATCCCAAGGGCCCGTGGCCCAGCGTACATTGGCTGCCTTATGGCTGAGCAATCGAAGGCCATGCCTGAAGCCATTCTGTAAAGGGTTTGTGAGGCCCCTGATGGCACCTGGCCCTGCTCTGATACTGGCACTTGTCCCCGGAGAAGGGGAGGAAAGAGAAAGAAGAGGGAAAAGGAGTTGGAGAATGGGAGCTTGCCGAGGGCCCCACAGGGGAGGGGAGCAGGAGGGGTTCTGCGCTGACATTTTGCTCCCTCCTTGGAGAATGGGTGCCACACTGGCTGCTCCAGGACTCCCCGGGGCAGGACTCCCTGAGCCAGAGTTGAGCCCCTGTGGGATCCTCCCAGAGGAGGCAAGGCTGCTGGAGGGATGGTCACCCCTCACTCAGGGCATGTTACTTGGGGCATTAAAGCAATCCCTGCCCCTTTCCTATGCAGGGAGTCTTCTGTGGAAGGGAAGCAGTCCTTGGCCTCCACAGTTGACCACATGAGGTGGCCCCAAGCCTCCTGCTCTCTGTCCTCCTGGCGGAGATGAGGCTGGTGCCTGGCCTGGCCCTTAGTCCTGGGTCACCAGAAGCCCAGGCAGAGATGGACACTCTGGAGCCTCAGCCTCCTCAGAACCAGACTCGGGTGGCGGGAGTGCAGGCTCCTACTGATGGGGAAGATGAGCTGGGGACAGAGGGGGCCTAGCTGATGACCAGCCAGCAGCTGTCTGGGCTCAACCTCCTGTGAAAGATGCCCATGAGGGATAGGGCAATGCGGTCTACTCCCCTTGGCCATGGTAGGCCTGATGCTGGGGTCAGAGTGCAGAGAGCCAGGTGGAAAGCAGCCTCCTGAGCACAGGCCCTGAGCCACACCACGCCCCTGCTCCTGCCTCCCTCTTTAAGCTGATCAGAGAGACCCTCTCCACCAGCTGGGCCTTGCCCAGGGGAGTTTTGCTTTCATCCACAAGGATTTTGATTGCAAAGAGACCTTCCCCAATTCACCCAAGAGGTCCCTTGATAAAGCATATGCCTGTGAATTTTCACAGTGCCCTCAGGCCCAGGGGCTCATGAATATTACACAAAGAGCCTCAGGGGGAAGTTCTCCAGCTATTTGATGAGATTAATATCAAACCAAATTGATTCTTGTGGATCACATCTTGTTCTGAGGGACTTGGATCATGTTCTGCTCTCCCAAGCCAAAGCGCCCATAGCTGTCCATTGCTCCCCTGTCCTGCTCAGAGAGTGGCTCTTGCTGGAGGAGCTCCTGTGAACCTGCTCTCCGGCTGCACAGCCAGCTGGAGCAGTGAAAGATGGTGCCAGACAGGTCCAGGTGCTCCCTGGTCTTCCCACAGCCTCCACTTCTTACTATGTTCCTAGCACCTCTACCCAGTGCCCGAGAAATTTACGGTTGTATTTTCTCTTCGTCCTTCTCTGCTTTTGTGACCTGGAGTAAGTGACAAAACCTCTGTCCTCCAATTTTGATTATAGAAAAACAAGGACACTCCCACCTGCTCTGATGTCACGAGGGCACATGAGATAATGAGTGAGTGCCCAGCTGTGCTTGGCACAGGCAAGGCACTACATATACATGGGCTTTTAGAAATCTTTGTCTCCCTGGCTGCCGACGAATAGGGCAGAGCAGGAGCTGAAAGCAGAGCCCGAGAGGTGAACCTGCTCAGTCCACATAAGTGCCCAGGCCAGGCACAACAAGGATCTTCTGACACCCTGATCCCAGGTTCTCTGGGGGCATAGGACAGGGTATGGACGCACGGGAACAAAGAGCCAGCCCAGGAGATGAGCGAAGCCCCAGGAGGGGAAGCCACTTTGCAGCCAGCCAGGCCACGACCCAGGACAGGCTCGGGTACAGAGGGTTGTGCAGAGGGGAGCTGGGGTTTTCCCTGTACTGGGAGTGCATGGGCCAGAAATGCTGTCACTTTATGGGGGTGCTGCACAGATGGTGGCCAGGGCCATGTAAAGGCCCCAAGTCTTCTCCAGACTTAAGCTAACCAGGGACTGAGAGTGAGTTTTGTCCAGGTCCAGAAAGAAGGGGAACAGGGACCAGGAGACATTCCCTTGCTTCTGTGTGTGACTCCAGCTTGGCTTGTGGGTAGAGGGCATTTTGCCCAAAAGAGCTGAGGCCTCTGGGTAATCCATTGGCCTGCTTGAGCTGTGGCCCTGGCAAACTTCATGAGGGGAGATGGCTCCTTGCTAGATGGAAGGCAGCAGAGCCCTCCCTCTGTGAGAATCTTGCTTTGGCAGAGGCTGCTTTCTGCACGCACTCTCTTCTTACTCGTTCAGGGAAGCGGCTGGCCTCATGTGGCCCACCTTCACCAAAGCTGACACTTTCCACCTGGACAAGTCCAAGGCAGTCAAGGTGCCGGTGATGTACAGGGCAGGCAAGTCTGCCTCCACCTTTGATAAGAAGGTTCACTGCCATGTCCTCCCACTGCCCTACTGAGGAAACGCCACCATGCTGGTGGTCCTCATGGGGAACACAGGTGACCACCTGGCCCTGGAAGGTGGTCTGACCACAGAGCTGGTGGAGACATGGCTCAGGAACAGGTAACATGCACAATCTCAGCCTATCTGTCCTTGTGACACTCACCACGGTTTCATCCCAGGCACCGTGGCTCCGGCCGTCTGCCCCTTGAGCTCTGAGCTCCCAAGGGCAGGGGCAGCTGTCTCCTTCTTTCCCACTCTCCCCCAGCATTGATCGATGGATGGCAGGCCTGGCTCATCCAGCCAGTTATTCAGCAAGTACTTACAGGGCTCCTCCTACCGTGATCCCTGCCCAGTGCTAGGATGCAGCAGGGAGGAAAAGAGGCCAAGTCCCTGGCCCAGGAGCTTGTTTTCCAGGGCAGGGAAATGACCAGGAGCATCAGCAGGGGAGAGGGGCTCAGGAAAGGCCCAAGGAAGTGGCAGGCCGACATCTGAGCTAAAGGGTGAGTTGTGGGCTATCTTGATGGAGAAGCGCATCAGGGCACAATGTTCTGGGATGGGAGTGTGCCCACTGGGCTGAGGAGCAGCAGGGAGCCTGGCCACCTCACCAAGCAAGCCCCAGAAAAGACTTGGGCTTTGTCTGAGGAGACGGAAGGGCCCTGGGGGGTCTGGGCAGGGGTGCGATGGCCTGTGTGGTGAAGACACCAGGAGGATGAGCATGAAAGCAGGAGACCTGTTCAAGGTTAGGTCAAACCCCGATGGATGCTGCTGCTTGGATAGTGGGGTTGACAGTGGTGGTGACAAGGAGCGGTTGGATTCTGGATCTACCTAAGGAAGCAAGAGTTGGCAAAATCTGTGAGTGGACTGGATGGGAGTGAGAGAAAGGAAGAGATCTGTCAGTCAAAGGTGACTGTAGCTTCTAGCCTTCGCAACTAGAAGGATCAACCCACCCTTTAGTGAAATGGGGGGAAAATGTGGGAAGCATACATCTAGGGTGGATTGTTCCGCCAATCTCTCTTCAGCAGAGTCCTGTCCTCTTCCTCTGGATGCTCGAGGAGCCACCTAACCCTGATGTGGACTGGCTTGCAAAGTCACAAGTCTGTCGAATCCTCAAGGAGCCCACGGAATCCCACCCACTCCAGGGTGAAGGAAACCCTGACTTTACAAGGCCCCACCACCCACCTGCCTTGGACAGCTCCTCTAGAAAACCCCTCTGGTGCCAGTCTCCTGTTGTGACTGAGATTTATTTCATCCCTTCCTTGAGAAGCAGCCCGATCCACAAATGGCTATT